GCCGCTGTCTTTATGTGTCAGTAGCTTTGGGAAGTGGGTCACTTTTGAGTTGGGGGGCCGCCTACTGGATGAATGGAAGGCATGGGAGAGGAAGCGGGGCAGGGCGATGCTGAGCTCACGTAACTGGTGAGCACACGGGCCCCAGCAGGTCCTGCCGGCCACCATTCTTCCCATGCCACCCTCCTTGGGAAGCGTGCCCAGGTTGCCTGGTGGCAGGGGGTGGGGGGTTAAGGCTCTATGCTGCTGTCCTGTGTGCCCTGGTCAGGATACTGAGGGCGGTGGGCGGTGGCATTGCTCTTCCGCCTCTTTATCGTTTTCACAGACATACATTGCTGTGGCATTTGATCATTCCAGATAAGATAAGGGATCCTTTCCAAGATAAGGGATCCTTTCTCGGCTGGGAATACCAAGAGATCTGAGGCCTCCGGGGAGTGTGGTGAGCATCAGAGCTGGGGCCTGGACCCTGCTCTCCCAGACTGGCCGCTGCCTCCTCCTGCAGGAGGTCATCCTCTGCATCTGCCGATCTTGCCATCCCCTGGAGGAGCGCACCAGTGTACCTCTAGCACCTCTGACTCTTGGTCCAGCATGTGCCACCTTCCTGCTGGGCAAGAACTTGGGCCAGGTCCCTGGCCCCTCGGCATCCCCGCCCACCATGGAAGTTGCCACTTGCACTTACTTGGCTGCTTTCACTCAGGCATAAGCAGCCAAAGAGGAAGTCCTCGTGGTCTGAGTGAAAGGCCTTTTCCCATGGGGTGGAAAGGAGCCTGAACACCATAAGCCTCCAAGTTCTCTTCGCTTTTTGTTCCCTTGGCCTGTTCTCTTGTGACATCTACACCAAGGGGTTGAGGTGGGGAACTGGGGGTCAGGAGCCGAGAGAGCTGGCTGTCTTGCCCGCTCCCCGTCCATGTTTTTTGGGCTATGCCCTTGCCCCTTGCACAGGGATTTGCCCTTCCTCCTTGCTGGGTCCTATTGCAGCTTGTGAGGGAGTGGTTGTCGGGGTAGGTGCTGGTCTCCTGCTCAGAGGGTGCCTCCAGTAAGGGCTCTGGGGATGCTGATTCAGTGACCTGCATCACGCCTGGGTCCTGGGGTTACTTGCTTAAGAGGCAGGTAAAACCTAGAAAGTTACCCTCTTTCAGGCTTGTTCCTTTAGGGTGTTAACTTCATTTCTTAGCTGTTCATCTCAAGCTCCTTGACAGCTTGGTAATAATAGTTGTAGGGTCTTTTTTTTTTTTTTTTTTTTTTCAAAGATTTGAGAGAGAGAGAGAAAGAGAGAGAGAGGCAGAGGGAGAGAAGTTGACTCCCCGTTGAGTGTGGGGCCCGATGCAGGGCTCGATCCCAGGACTTTGAGATCATGACCTGAGCCCAAATCAAGAGTCTGCTGCTTATCCGACTGCGCCCCACCAAGCACCCCTTATGGCATCTAGAACTATAGATAGAGAACTAGCTCTTGTACTGCTTTCTGCCCTGGATACCCCACTACCCTTTCACCCCTTCTCGCAAGGAAGGACAGGAGTCAGGGTGATCTTGCAGGACACAGTGCTGGGCGAATGCTCATCAAAGGATGGGGAAGGACCAGAGAGGCTCAGCACCGAGCTGGAGCTCGCTGCCCCTCCCCTGCGGGCGCTCTGCCTGGGCTCCTTCCTGCCCTTCCTCGCCTAGGGAAACCAGCAGCCTTTGTGAATCTCCTTGACGACGGATGGATAAGTTAAAAATAACCTTGTGCTGGGGCGTGCATGTGTGTGTGTGCACGCGCACATGCACTTGTGGCTGGATGTAGGCTCTCTCCCCTGCTGGGCTCCAGCTCAGCCGCTGTGGCTTCCTGATGCTCCTGGTGAGCATCTATGGGAGGCCTTGGTGGGGCCCAGGAGGTCACATGCTGAAGCTCCTCGGGTTAGGGGTCAGATCTAGATAATCCGCAGCATCATTCCTGTACTAATGGTTGCCACTGGGATGTGGGTGTTTATGTTAATATAAGGAAGGGAAAGCTTTTCTGAATGCCTCGGTCTTCGGTCTTCGTTCACTCTAACTGGAGAGGGATGATTCCAGAGGCGTTGCTGTGGTTCAGAACCTTTCGGTGCCGGATTAGGACAGAGCCCTGCGGTGGAGGGTGGGGGGAGGGGGGAGTTTGGCTGTATCTCTTTAGGGAAGGAGGATCTTTCTGGGCCCGTTTGATAAAGTGAGGACACTGCAGTATGGAGGCACTTCTTGACTTGCCCAGAACCCCCTCGCTGTGCTATGGCAGCGTTAAGGAACAGTGACCATGTCATTAGAAGCTAGAAGCTAAGGCTCTTGCCTCACCTCCTGCTGATGAGGTCATCTGGATAGGTCCTTTACCAAAGCCAGCTGCCTCTTATTAGCAGTCTTACACTAGTTAAAGTCCTCTGTTTTAGTTTAGTTTAGAAAGAGCTATTTCCCTGAGGGCAGGGGCTGGGTAGCTCTTTACCACACCTGGAATTAATTCCTGGTTTCCTCTCTCCATTATTTTTCCATCCATTTGTGAGCATTTTGCTCTGTACCAGGCATGGGTAGGTGAAGAGGAAAAGGTGGTCCTTGTCTTGAGGGAGCAACAGACAAGTACAAAAATATCCCTATCAGTCTGCATTGTGGCCAGTGCCCAGAATGAGAAGGTTAAGAGAAGGAGTGATTGGGTTAGAGAAGGTTGGGAGAACACAGTGACACAGGGTGCTTAAGGCTGGAATGTCTGAGACGTTCCTACAAATCCAAAGGAGGACAGAAAACTCGGTAGAAAAATGATCAATGACTTGATAGACACTTTACAGAAGAAGATATCCAAACAATCAGTAAACATGAAATGGTGCTCGATTTCATGTACTTCTTAGGGAAATACAAATTATTCAACTTAAGAAAAAGTGACTGTTTTCTGTGTTCACAAACATATATAACAAAATCTTTGAAGATGTGGTGAAACACCCGTTTGCCATTTCTAGTTTACTTCATAGTGAACTTCTTGCCGAAAAGTAAAATGGGGTCTCCAGCCTGATCTCCACAATCCCATCTTCGCGGCTGCGGCCCCACACCTCCGCACTCGGGGTGTGCTGGTCCCCGGCGAGCCCGGAAGCCTGGGTGCCCTGCGGCTCCCTGTGGGCTAAGGTCTGCTCATCGGGAATGTGCCATTGCTCCGAGGCAGTGGTCCACACTCTACCCGGGTGAACACGCTGTAGCAGCTTCTTGTGCTAGCTGTCCAGCCGTCAGGAGGATGTCAGGAATGAAGACATCCTGAATTCCCTCAAGGACCTCTGACCAGGTGGCGGGTTCGAGCCCACCCTCATTTTTTTTTGAGAAGTGCGAGGTGAAGGGTATGCAGGTGCACCTCCTCTTCCCCTTCCTGCTCTGCCTGGCCCCAATGACTATACCACTGCCTTCATGACTGACCCCCAGTTCATCACACGGTCTCTAGTCTGCCGCAGCAATGTCTCCTGGAACTTCCTGGTGGGCCCAGATGGCTTGCCTGTTTGCAGTCCAACCCCTGCTTTCCAGCCATCGACATCCAGCCTGATTTCGAAGACCTGCTGTCCCAGGGGCCCAGCTGTGCTAGGGCGCCCCTCCCCCTCTGCTGCCTGGCAGTCACAGTGCTGTCCTCTGGGGAATTCATTCACGATGGTATTTCCTTGAACTCTGTGTAGAGGAATGCCTGAGGTCCAGGAAAATTCCCTGAGATGGGCACTTCTTGTCCATCCCAGGCCCACTCCCTCTCCAAACCAAGTTTCCTTACTAATAAAGTGTCAGGTGTCAAAAAAACAGTGGATTCCAAGATGCTTAAGTAAAAGGAAATGTAGTGGGATGAACACTGAGAAGTCAGAAGACCTGGGTTAATAGGAGATTTGGGGCCCACCATTGAACTTGCTCAGCGCCTCTATCTCTTCATTTGTAAATAAGGATCTTCCTGTCTCCTTTCCCTTCCTTCCAGAATGACTCTGTGGCTCACAACAGGTTTGGAAAACAATCTTACAGCTGTTGAGAACTCTGCAAATCGAAGCAATATTGTTCGACTCTAATTTGAAGTGATTTGACTTCTTTTCCATCTCTTCCCAACAGCAGTGGTTGTAAATTCTTATAAGAGATAAATGCTCCGAGTAGTAAGGTCCCTAGGATTCAGAGCAGCCTGCCCTTGGTACTTTGGATAGAGAAGCAATTGCTGGTGTGACTCTGCTCCCCTCGTGGGGGTGGCTGGCAAGCAGGGCGAGTTTCTGACATGGCCGGAGCCCGGATGGCAACTCTGTGGGTGACGTGGCAGGGTCCTCTGGTGCCCTGGGGCTGCGTGGCTGGGAAAGGACAGTGGCACCCCAGTCCTGGTGAAGCCTAGACTCTAGTAAGCAGTACTGTGTGTCTTCCACACTGCCTGGGGCTGGCCGCCTCATGGGGTGCTCCTGTGGAGTCTGGAAGTAACAGCAGACTTTGGGACATTTAGTGGGGGGACAACAGCCTGCACACCCGGCTTTTCTCTGAGAGCCTGGCCAGAACCACTGGCCACTCTGGGGGCACTAAGAGTCCACAGCATGTTGTGGGAGAGCAGGGACTTTGCTGCATGATTTAGGTGTTGGTGGAGAGGTTTTAGAGGTGGATGTGTCTTAATGGGTGCCCGTGGCCAAACCCTACTTGGCAGTAAGCCTGGCAGCAAGGGCAGGGTCAGGAATGAGGTCCTGCTGAAATGCAGGCCTGCCTCCACTTTTGGATACAAAAGAGCCCCTTTCCCCTCCTCCACTGTTCCCTCCCCTGCCCCTGGGAGGGCAGGGGGGATCGAGCAGATAGTGGCTGTTCCTCAGTCCCCCATGGCAGATGTGTGCTTCACTTCCAGCAGAGTCGGCCCCCTCGGCACGTGTCAGAAGAGTGTCGGGATCGCTGTGAGTCCCATCTGCTCTGTCACCTGGCTGTGCTAGGTCCTCGAGCCTTGTTAGGGGGTCTTTTCCCACAGATCTCTTATGACGGGCATGTACTTCTCATTTTTGACCTTCTCCTCATCCTGTTTTTCTGCTGTGTAGGAATTGGAGTCAGAAGTGAAGGTAGATGGAGAGACTGCGTCGGACAGTGAGAGCCGAGCGGAAACTGCTCCTTTATCAACGTCTGCAGATGATACTCCAGAGGTCCTCAACAGGGCCCTTTCCAACTTGTCTTCAAGGTATAACCTGGCTTCATGATGCGGATGCTTGTAGGGGCCTCGCCTCAGGTCCGAGTGCTGTGGAAAACCCAGAGCCCTCAGGCAGCCTGCGGTCATGGGACGTGAGCCCATGGCTATCAAAGTGTACAGGCTTGGCCTGCTCAGAGGCAGTGGCCACAGTCTCCCTGCTTCTGCTCAGGCCTCTGAATGTAACCTTGTGCTTGATGGCAGCTATGAGCACAGCCTAGAAGGATCTGACCTTTGAAGGGTGCTTTGGTGGGGCTGGGAGGGACAGTAGTCTGAGGAGGAGGAAAGTGTGGACAAAGGGGTGGTGGCAGGCAAGGTTGCTGACACAACTTGTGAAGGGTTTGTGACTAATCAACAGCCTGCTTTTCACAGAGGAGCCCAAGTTTCTAGGTCAAAGTTTAGTTTTCCCTCTCCCACACATATCCATTGTGGACATTCCTTAAATTCACCCAGAAGAATTGAGAAATCTCAACTCGGGTGAATCCAGAGCTAAAATATTAGTCCCCTGAGACTCTGGTCCTCCAACACTGGCTATGTGGGCAGATTAAAAAATGTAAACTTTAAGACCTCAAAACATTATCTGACGGTGTTGCTATGTGTGTCTTGCACACATGTGTCTCTTTGAAAGGTGGTGTTTTGCAATGGTCAGGGGCTTGGGTTCTGGAGCCAGACTTCTAGGATTCAAATTTTGGTTGGACCACGTCACAGCTCTATGATTTGTGTATCTGCATTTCCTATCTGGAAGGGTTAGTAGTGTTGAGGCTTAAATGCATTAATATATGCTAAGTCCTTATAAAAGTGCCAGATGCATCTTTGTGATTGTTATTACTGTTGTTGAATGTTGTTCTTACTATAAAGATACAGGGGCAGAGTGATGCAGGATTTTGCTGCTGGAAAAATGTGCATTGTTTTCCTTTGGATAGAGAGCCATAGACGCCATCCAAGCAAATACAGAAGTGGGCACCACATTTCCCTCGGGACTTTTGCCAGATTTGTTTGTTAAGATTTGTAAGATTTGTAAGCTGGGAGTATTTTTCTGTACACCTTGGAGCACCTGCTGAGTTTGGTGTGGGTGAGGTGATGGCTGTTGGCCCTGCTTCTGCCCACATGTGGCTAGTACCTCTGTCAAGGGGTGGGAGGTACACTGCAGGAAGGGATTGACCTCTCCTTCCAGAAAGAGCAATCCCCCTTGACTTTGTGCTTTGCTTCTTTCCCAGCTCCTAACATGTTTTCTCCTTCCGCTCTTAGATGGAAGAACTGGTGGGTGAGAGGCATCCTGACTTTGGCCATGATTGCATTTTTCTTCATCATCATTTACCTGGGACCAATGGTTTTAATGATCATTGTAAGTGCCACTTGCATGCTGTTTGGGTTTTGCCTTCAGTTTTTCCTACGGCTCCGTCATCTTAAGTGTAGGGTATTGGGTTGGTTCTGGGAATCAGTGGGAGTCCTGGGTCCTCAGACCACATCTGCCTTAGAACTGTCACTGCTCCCCTTCCAGGAGCCAAACAGAGGGCTGTTGGCATCAGCCAGTTGTGTGTAGTTAAAGATATCTCTTCATTTTAAAAGTTGATACTATTGTTTCAGCTGTTTGATTAGCCAGTGACCCCGGCTGTGACTCTATGTGACTCTCCGTTTTGTTTCTTGTTTCCCTGGGGCCTCACTGTGGGGCTTAGGACTTTGGTTTAAAAAATCCCAGTCCACAGCACTGTTCTCTTAGTCTTCCTGCTGGCACGGACAGGGTCAGATGACTAGCGGCTGACTGCTGAGCAAAGCAGTTGGGGATTTTCAGGTATTTCTATTCAAAGCCAAAAGGGGAAGAGATTGATGGAGTCCAGGGAAGTACAAAAATAAAAAGTTAATTGAAGCTTCAGGGGTGCCTATTTCTTGGATCTAGTCTGTGTGACACAAAGGACTGTACTGCCGAGGGGGTGCAGAGTGAGTGGGAAAGGAGGAGGAGAGCAGAGTCACTGTAGGACTGACATTCTTAAATATGATAGTTTTTCTTCAAGGCCCATGACCTGTGTGTGGGTTTCTGTTTCCAAAAATGGTAAGAACTGGGGAATTAGCAAATACTCTGAGTATTTTCTATCTTGTAGGTGATGTGTGTTCAGATTAAGTGTTTCCATGAGATCATCACTATCGGCTACAACGTCTACCACTCCTATGACCTGCCCTGGTTCAGAACCCTCAGCTGGTAAGCCCTCCAGCCCCACGGGGGCCCTAGACGGATTTGGGTGACGAGCGTTTCGTTATAGGTATTTACAGTCATGGTGGATAGATAGGGAGTGATGGCCTCCCACTCAGATAGCCCCTTTAAGACCTAAGTATTTTATGTGGATGGCCTGTGGGGAGTGTTTTGTAGTTGTCTGGGGTCTGGAGTCTTCTACATGACTGCGTCTGTGAGCACGTTTGCCTTGGTATTTGGATTCATCAGATGTTGCACAGTGGCCCCCACCTCTAGACCAGCATATTTTTTATGCTCTGATGTGCCGACATCCCATGAGAGTCCTCTGTAGGTTGTCTGTGCTGGTGTTGCTGTCTCTGGAACTTGGTTTCCTTGTCCTTGAGACAGATGGTTGAGACTGAGTCAGTTGGCTTTGGAACCCTCATTCCTTGGACGGAGGTGCCGTAGGGGCCAGGTGGGCAGGAGTGACCCTGAATACAGAGGATCTGGGCTCCTCAGAGAAGCTCTGGTCCCTCTCTCCTAGGAAAGGGCTCAGCTGCCTTCAAGCAGAAACAGAATCAAAACCTGTAGCCCAGGTGATGTCTGAGGTCCCTTTCTGATCTGAAACTCTGCTGTATTGGCCGCACTGTCCTTGCGGGACACATGAGCAGAGCTCTGCGTGGTGCCGAGAGGACTTGGGGCAAATATGGACCCTTCTCACCTTCTGTGCTGGGACGCAAGGGTTGGTTCCATGACTTAGCAGCCTGAAAGGAGTGTTTCAGGCCCCAGCAACGTGGTCATGACCAAGGGAGCTGACGTGCACAGACTTGGGCTGGACACATCCTTCCTAGAGATGCTTCCCCACCAGCCAGCCATGCAGGCTGCCTCATGGTCTCCACACAGGCCTGTGCCTGCCACCCAGGTTCAAGTGTAGGTCTCTTCATGGCTCTTCTAGAGCTGGCAAGCGATATTTTAAATTTTGTTCACACACTCAGGATGTCTGACTTTCGATTGTGGTCACTGACCAAAGGGAGTGGTTTTTTTTTGTTTTTTTTTTTTTTTTAAGATTTTATTTATTTGTCAGAGAGAGAGAGGGAGAGAGAGCGAGCACAGGCAGACAGAATGGCAGGCAGAGGCAGAGGGAGAAGCAGGTTCCCTGACGAGCAAGGAGCCCGATGTGGGACTCGATCCCAGGACGCTGGGATCATGACCTGAGCCGAAGGCAGCTGCTTAACCAACTGAGCCACCCAGGCGTCCCCCAAAGGGAGTGTTTTTCATGTAACAGAAGACAAATCCAATATGAGAGTTCTTGAACTTTCACAATTAAAAAAAAAAAAGAAAAAGAAAAAGAAAGAAAGAACATGGAAGAGAGAAGCCCTCCACTCTCTTTCCTACCTCAGGACCCTGGCTGAGTATTTGGAGTAGGCCTGCTTGCTCCCACACTCCGAAGCACCGCCGAGGCTCTAAAGGTATATGAGCCATGGCGGCCCCCTGCCCAGAGCTCCAGTAGAGGAAGCAGATTATACACACATGAAGAGTTAATGCTGGTGAAAGGCTGATGTTTCAGAGATAGGCTTCAGGGAGGCAGGTACTCTGAGACTGAGTATAATTAATTGCTTAGTGAAATGACCAAATACTACATACTATAGAAATAAGCATGGGGGAGCCAGAGACCAGGTTAGGTTGTACAAGGCTTTTTTGAAGACAATGGTATTTGAGCAACGAGTGACAAAACGGGGTGAGTGAAGTGGATGTCCCAGGCTGGGGGAGACAGGAATGAAGCAGATGGTGGCAAAGCCAGAGTAAACCACTGTGATAGGTATGTGGGGTTCCTGGAAGAGAGGAAATAGGATGGGGAAGCAGGATGAGCCACGCTCTGGAAGGCCCTCCTGCGGTGGGAGTGTTCTTAGATTAGGCATGGTAACTTTGCAAAAGGGGCAAAAGCTGAGTCCCAAGTTTGTGACAGATGGAGAGTGAGTGGAAGCTGCCACAGATTTCCAGATAGACTTCCCAGCCACAGGGTCCCCAGTGAACAGGGAACCGTGGTTGGCTTGTTCTTAGCAAGCTGCCGTGGGTGGTGCAGGGTGTGGGGTCACGCAGGCTGCTGCTCTGAGTTTTTGCTGGCAGCCTCACTGGAAAGGAGAGGCCACAGGCGCTCCCCATAGCAGTGACCTGTCTTCTTTTACAGGTACTTTCTACTGTGTGTAAATTACTTCTTCTATGGTGAGACAGTGACGGATTACTTCTTCACTCTGGTCCAGAGAGAGGAGCCTTTGCGGATTCTCAGTAAATACCACCGGTTCATTTCCTTTACTCTCTACCTAATAGGTAGGCATTCAGCGGTTTACCAGTTCTTGGGTTTGTCTTGTTTGTGTTTGCTGAGTAGAGATTGGGGCACTTCTTGGTGCCTGCATAGTCTTGGTGATGTTAAGCTTGACGGTGCAAGGCAGCAGAGCTGAGGGCCCTGCCTTAAATCTGAGTCATAGCAGCTCTTGACTAAGAAGTGGGACCGAGGGCCTTGTGTGGCTGTGGGGACTGTAGTCATTGCCACCTGTCCTTGTGTCCCAGCCTCTGTGGGAGGGCAGCATAGCACGGTCCAGTCCTGACTCCCCTGTTAGCAGAGATTCTGCGGTGAGATCAAAACAAAAACCACCCAGGAATTTGGGTATAAAACCCAGCAGCTGTCTTTAGGGGAGTCACCTGAGAAGCTGCGTGAGGGACACTGCAGTGTGGTGGAGATTTTACCCAACTGGGTTTAAAAAGACTTTGTGACTTCGGAGGAGCTGGGTGCTTAGTCTTTGGGTCTCTTGTCTTCTGGAGCTAAAACAGCAGACGCACTGTGAGGATTTGATCAGATGCATTAAAAGTTCACAAACAGAAGGGTGCTGTGTCAGTCTAAACTCAGTACTACTTGAGTGTTAAGTGTTAATGCTAGTGTTTTTCATAGTTGCCCTCAAAGCCAGTTTGAGGCACAGAAGAAATTTGTTCTGACCTAAATTTCAGTCTGACCTATTTTTGATGAGCTTGATAGCAATACTTGGCTCCGTGAATGGCCTCTGGCCATTAAAGTAGAAAATCCACCGCCAAGGGGGTCTGTTGCTGATGAGCATAGTCCGAGAGTGTGCCTCAGGCCCCGAGAGTAGCCCCCCATAGTGGGAGGCCTGGGGTCTGGAATAGCCACGTGTCGTCTTCTGGGCAGGGCTGTGTTTGAGGTGCCCAGCCACTCTTCCGGGTAAGTGTTTCTCTCCTTCCTGAAGGAGTGTAAGGGCTTAAGGTTTATATTTATTTTTATTTTTATTTTGCCACCATGTGGGTCAGTGTGAGAGGTGCAAGGCCCTGACTCCATGCTAGGGAGATCTGCCCCCCTTAGCCAAACCTATAATTTAGGACAGGGGTCAGCAAGCTTTTTCTTTTTTTAAAAAAATTTTTAAAAAGATTTTTATTTATTATTTATTTGACAGAGAGAGAGAGAGATCACAAATAGGCAGAGAGGCAGATGGGGGTGGGGAAACAGGCTCCCTGCTGAGCAGAGAGCCCAATGCGGGGCTCGATCCTAGGACCCTGAGATCATGACCTGAGCTGAAGGCAGAGGCTTTAACCCACTGAGCCACCCAGGTGCCCCCAGCAAACTTTTTCTTAAAGGTCTAGATAATATTTTAGGCTTTGGGGCCCATAGGCTCTTTGTTGCAACTCTTCTGTTCTGCCCTGGAGCATGAAAGGAGAACCCCAGATAATATGTAAACAAACAGGTATGGCTGTGTTTCAGTAAAATTTTATTTGTGAAAACTGGTGTCTGGTCTAACCTTTGTTGTTTGACCCCTGCTCCAGGATCAAGATGTTCCTATCTGGTGAACAGTATTTTAAATTGAGTGTAGTCTGCAAGATTTAAAAAAAATATTGCCTTCCTTTGATTGTCTTGAAGGAGTCTGTTTTTGCTTCTGACACTTACTGGAATAGCTAGGTTTATTCCCCTGGGCTTTGGAATTGTGCATTGCTTAACTGCTGCAAAGAAATTGGCCAGAAGACCATTTAACACATCTAAAGGAAATGATTAGGACAAAGATAATGCAGAGTGTGATTCATTTTGCCCTTTCTCCTTCTCAAACTAGGATTCTGCATGTTTGTACTGAGTCTGGTCAAGAAGCATTATCGACTGCAGTTCTACATGGTAAGCGAGATGTGTGTGTGTGCGTGTGTGTGTGTGTGAATTCTTGGCTTAAGTGAAGTTCTACAGAAACTCACAAGGCCTCTATGCTTTCTGTGACAGATCAAAACTCTGGAACACAGTCTGTTTTGTGTGCATAGAACCTAGAGCATGAAGGGATATCTCCCATTTAAGTTACCCTGCTCTACATCCACCTAGACCCAATCACTGTTAACTTACACCCCCAGCAGCCTCTCCATTAGGACCTGTAGGTGGCGTCCAAGTGTGGCTCAAGGTGAAGCTTTAGTCAATGCCCACAGATACTCTACATGCTACATCACTCCCTCAACCTGGAAGCAACCCCTCACTGAGGGGCCTAAGCAAGGGTCCTAAGTAACATTTTCTTAAGATTTTATTTATTTACTTGAGAGAGCGAAAGAGAGACAGCAGAGGAAGAAGGACAAGCAGAGTCCGCACCCACTGAGCAGGGAGCCTGACATGGGGCTCCATCCCAGGACCCTGAAATTATGACCTGAGCCAAAGGCAGGTGCTTAACCGACTCAGCCACCCAGGCATTCCAGCACTCAACATTTATGGAGAAAATGAGACGTACCCAGGCTTTCAGAGCATAGAAGGACTTGTTCACTGGTGGGCCCTGTGGTCCCTACTTTTGGTGGTAATTGTAGCTGGGGGCAACGTTAATCCCAAATGCCTGTTCTGTACCTTTTTACTTCCAATAAGACAGGTAGAGAAGCAGACATATTTTCTACCTGTTTTGTTGTTGTTGTTGTTTAGCAATTTCTATTTGTTATTGGCTGTTATTTGAAGTTCCTTTCAAGGTAACAGGTAGGTCAAATGTATTCTTGATTTTCTTTTGCAGTTTGGCTGGACCCATGTAACATTACTGATTGTTGTAACTCAGTCACATCTCGTTATCCACAACCTATTCGAAGGAATGATCTGGTGAGTGATGTCAGGGAGGGAGATTTCCCTTTTATTTTGTGGGTTTTCTCATGTCCAGGTAGACTGAGAATCCCTGCTTACCTTCTAAGCCGGGGGTTCTCACCTTGAGCTACGTAAAAATCCCATGCAGGGGCTGGTTACAACACAGATCACTGGGCCTTACTCATGAGGCCTCAGCAGATTCAGTAATGAGAATTTGAATCACTAGTACATTCCCAGGTGATGCTGCTGATCAGAACTTATACTTAAGAACCGATATTCTAGACTAACCAGTACATAGATAATTAAAGAATAAAAGACAATGCAACCCTATAGCAACAGATTTAAAAAACTAAAGGAAAATGCCGTGATCTGGTAAAATGTAAACTACCAACAGTTATGAAGAAGAAAACTTGAAAAGATCACTAACTGTTAAAGATCTTTGAAAATCACCTAAGAATCCACATCTGGGAAGAAAACAACCAATGATAATAGCAGAGTTTTATCTACCCCTTCATACTAAAGCTGATAAGCTTGGGGAGGCAGAAAGAAGAATGTTAAACTGCTTTCTTTAATGATTACAGATAAACCATTGTAAATATTGGCAAATAGAATCCGGCAATGTGTCAAAAGCACCATGTACTCATTACTTAGTAGATTTTATTCCAGAAATGCAATGGTTTCAGTAGGAAATCTGTCAACATTTATGGAAATCAGCAGGCTGAGGAAGCTGGATGATTTTGATGAAAGGCGAGGCATATCTTCGTTTGTATAAGAGGTACTGAAGTGTACTTAAGACCCCAGACGGTGCTCTGTTTTCAGATCTCAGAATGAGGGTATAGTAATACTTACCTCCTGAGGAATAAATTAGTAAATATATAAAGTGCTTGGAACAGAGACTAGCTCATATAAATGCTGGTCTTACTAGGTTTAAAACAATGGTAGTAATGGTCTGGAGAAGCTCACAATTTTCCCCTTTCAGTTTTTGTTAGGTAATTCTGAGGAATGGCTTCTGATAAGTCCTTATCTTTAGGGCCAAACATGCCACTTGTTTCTACAGTGAATCATATTAAAATCTCTGGTTATTGGTTTTCAGCTTTACCTACAGGATTTAACTGTAGGTATAGAAAATAAGAAGAGCAGAGAATATGTGCAAGAAGCCTGGACAAAGTAAATAATGGGCGGGGTTGTGAGGATACAGATGCTCCCTTAACAAACAGAAGATATTGCCTCTAGTTGATGGGCTGGGAAGTCAGAGATTTACGTAGATTATGGTAAATACAGAACTTGAAATAGAGGACATTTGAAAAACATGATGGTCAGAGAGTGGAGAGGGAGGAGAGCAGAAGGATACAAGTGTGGAAATGGCCTCCTTTTTCATAGTGGGGATCAGCAGGTGAGGAGGGGGGCGCGGGAGCTCAAAAAGATAGCTAGATCTGTGAGTTGTGGTTCTGCGCTCAGCGTAGCCCTAGGGAGAGGGAGTGTTCCTGAGAGCTAGTCATAAACCGTTCACCTAGATAAATTATGAAATAGATATGAAGTAGTCAGGAATGAGTAAAAGTAGTTATTTGGGGGGAATGGAGATAGGGCGGGGGAAACAAGGAAAACTTTCTCTTCTTTACAGTTCAAATTTGTATTACCACGTGCATATATTACTTCATAACAAAAAAGAAACACATGACACTTTATAGAACCCCACCTCTATTTATTCGGGGGCCATTTGGTAAAGATTGGAATGTCTGCTGTGTGCCAGGTACTAGGTATAGCTTGTCTAGTATTTTCTTTCTTTCTAGCTTATTCCTTCATGGATGACAAGTGCTTACGGGTTATTTTGTTCCTGGAGTTGATGAATGGCATTGTTTTGTAGACCTCTGAGGTATTGTCATCTGGGGAGAGTTGATTTTCACTTTGGTTTACTCCCTAGGTTCATTGTCCCCATCTCTTGTGTGATCTGTAATGACATTATGGCCTATATGTTTGGCTTCTTCTTCGGTCGGACCCCACTCATCAAGGTAAATGGGTCACCCTCACATGAAATACCACTGTGAGGGGAGGGTGGTCCTTTCCGTAGAGTAGATCAGCTTGGGGCAGAAGAAGTCTAGCTTGTATGAATGTCTTCATGTCGTCCTGGAGAAAGGCTAGCAATAACTTAGTTTTAGGAGAAAAGCCACAGGAAGACGACTATTCATAGAGAAAAAAAGAGCTAACAGAGAAAATATCTTATAGACTATATAGACACATTTTAGGGACTTTGATCGGAATTTGCGTGTTGTCATTTAATTATATTTTATATGTGATATAAAATATATTTATATATAAACTGGGACAGAAGGGAAACTGAGGGGTATCAGGCCAGGAACAAGGAGACCAGGCAGGGGTTGTTTTAGAAGGGAAGGAGGTTAACAGAATGAGGTGGGGTTTTTGTTTTGTTTTGTTTTGTTTCTTATAGTAGGAAGGTTTTAAATAAGTAATCATTGTTCTCAAAGCCAGTTATCAAAATGCCCTTTGTTAAGAATTTGCTTTCTGTCTGTAGCTGTCCCCGAAGAAGACCTGGGAAGGCTTCATTGGGGGCTTCTTTGCTACTGTGGTGTTTGGCCTTCTGGTAGGTGGTGGTTCGCTGCTGGGTGGGGGAGTGGACAGAGACCTCACACCCTCCCTCAGAGCTTGTCCAAGGCTAGAGAGCTTGTTTCCTGAGGCCCAGGACTCTGTCCTGCTGCACGGTAACCTTGCCCCTGAGGGGCATGAATATGGCACGCTCTGTATCTAGCCCCATGCCAGTTCTCAAACAGGGTCTTGGCAGCTGAGGGGCGGGGCCGTGTGCGCCTGCACTCCCCTCAGGCCGAGGCATGCGACGCCCAGCAGGTAGTGTTCTTGTCCACCCAGCTTGATAATTCAAGCTTGAGTGACTGGCAGCTGAGAGTAGGAGGGGAGGTGGGCTCTGCCGCTTTGGCCGAGGTTCTCTCCCATGTGCGTCCTGTGGGAGGAGGATGATCTTCTTGCCCTAACCCTGCTTCTGACCATCAGGCCAGCCTCTCTCCTTTTTCAGGGGTGTCCAGCCGTCCTCCAGTACTGATTCCCTTTCTTCATTGCTCTTCCACCTTCTTCTCCCAGGCTGGCTGTCTCTCACTGTACCACTCCCTGACATCCTGCCTCCAGTTCAAATGAAATTAAAAGATCCTGAGGAAAAGGGACCATAGCTCCCCTAAATGGGGAGAATCTTCTTGTAGCTCTTTGCCCAAATTCCTTCAGGTCTTTCGTGGATTTTGACCTGGGTGTTCAGGCAATTCTGTGTAAAGCCTTAGCAGGCCATGCACCTGTTTTTAAATCCTTTTCCAAATTCAGGCAAAATACTCCTGTGGGGAAGCATGAACCTCTGATTTAGTGCCCAGCTCACAGTTAGCAGGGTCCTAGGCACTGTGAGGGGGACAGCCAAACCCCGTGTGTGCTGCCCGGGTGGGCTGGCTGGGCCTTGTGTCTTCTGCCCGACTCTGCTTTTCACCCTCAGCTGTCCTATGTGATGTCCGGGTACAGATGCTTTGTCTGCCCCGTGGAATACAACAATGATACCAACAGCTTCACTGTGGACTGTGAGCCCTCGGACCTCTTCCGTCTGCAGGAGTACAGCATTCCTGAGGTGATCCAGTCGGTCATTGGCTTGGTATGTGCCACTCACATCGGGCAAGCTATCCTTGGTTAGGTAGTGACTACAGAGAGAGCGAGCCCTCTCTCCACCACTGCCACTCCCTCAGAAAAAGCCTAGCTTCCTCCCTCCACAATGCCAGGGCCCAGGATAGAGGAGACTCGTTCAAGTCAGGGAAGGGTGAAAGCAGAAGGAGACCTTTCATCTCACCTCAGTTCATGTAGACCAGTGGTTCTCAAACTGTGCTCTGTGGATCCCTAAGGAACCCTGAGATCCTTTCAGGGGGCCTGTGAGGTCACAGTTATTTTCATAATAATAATATGACATTATTTGCCTGTTTTTACTTTGTTGATATTTGCTGTGAATGGTGCAAAAGCCGTGGTGGGTAAGCTCGCTGACGCTCTAGCACGAGTGAAGGCAGTGGCAGCAAACTGGACTAAGTCGTGGGATTCTTCATGCCACACACTCGCAGTTAGCATAAGCCAGCTCCTCGTAAGAATGTCTTTGATGAAAACGTAACATGGTTCATTTTATTATATTCTGACCCTTGAATACATATCTGTCTATATACTCTTGTGTACCCAAATGGAAACTGTGCCTAGAACATTTGTGCTAAATATGGCAGTCCGGTGCTTACCTAAAGGAAAGCGCACATGCACCTGTTTGAGTTATGAGCTGAGCTAGCTGCTTTTTTTTTTTTAATAGGGACATACTTTTTACTTGAAAAGAACTGACAAACTCTAGTGTTTCAGCCTTGTGTATTTGATAACATTTTTCTTGAAAATGAATGAAGTGAGCCTGTCACTTCAAGGAATACCCCTGACAGTGATTGTTACTGATGATAGAATTTGGATTCCAAGTGAAAATTAATATTTTGGAATGTATATACCTGTCCCCGGAGTTTGACAGCTTCCTGATACTTCAAAGGTTTGTGGATGAGAGCTGCAGTGATTTTTTTGTGTGTGATTTTTATAGTGATTTTAACATACGATGTTTTGACATTGTATATAGCAAACTGTCTATACTTGGAAGACTTACATAACTTGGTGAACTATCGTTTTCTAAGTGGCCAGTGCGTGGTGTTACAACTGCCAGGTATGGGTCAAAGATCCATTCAAAGTGCAAGACAGATCAATGGATTTTAATGTTAAGAGCACAGAAAGTTCATTTGTAGGATTTCAAATTGCACACTGCACCAAATTTTTAAGAAACTACCACTTGTCGAGTTCTGGTGTAGTGTCAGAGAAGAATACCCATAATTATCTAAAATACTCTTCCTTGGGGCACTTCGGTGGCTCAGTGGGTTAAAGCCTCTGCCTTAGGCTCAGGTCATGATCCCAGGGTCCTGGGATCGAGCCCCGAATCGGGCTCTCTGCTCAGCAGGGAGCCTGCTTCCTCCTCTCTCTCTGCCTGCTTCTCTGCTGAGTTATGATCTCTGTCTATCAAATAAATAAAAAAAATATTTTTTAAAAATAAAGTAAAATACTCGTCCTTTTTTCAGCCACTTAATTTGTGTGAGGCTGGATTTTCTCCACATACTTCAATTAAAACATCATATTGCAAAGGACTGAATGCATGATACTGAATGTCCTCTATTAAGCAGAGCAGTACAGAGTTACAGACAAAATCCAGTTTTCTTACTAATTTTGTTTTTGGAGGGAAAATAGAGCTCATTTCATAAAGACTCGCTTGTGTTAACAAGGCATCTTGACTGATTTCATTTATTCTTCTCAGACAACAGTCTGGATGTACCCCTTCCAGATCCACAGCATCGCCCTCTCCACGTTTGCCTCGCTCATTGGCCCCTTTGGAGGGTTCTTTGCAAGTGGATTCAAACGAGCCTTTAAAATCAAAGTAGGAAAACCCTCTTTTCTGTTTCTCTCATTGTCTCCCAGCCTGTTCTCCTCCTGTCCTACCCCATCCACCACCCCCTCCTTCAAAATACCAAGCTGTAAATACCAAGCTATAAACCAGACTATTAATGCGTGCTCTTCTTCACCCATGGGTGGGATTTAGGCTGGTAAATTTAAAGTACATTGTTTCCGGGGCGCCTGGGTGACTCATTTGGTTAAGTGTCTTACTCTTGATTTCAGCTTAGGTCATGATCTCAAGGTCCTGAGATCAAGCCCCACATCAGTCTTGGCACTGGGCATGGAGCCTGCTTAAGATTCTTTCTCTCTCTGCTCTTTGGCCGCCCCCTCCCCACATGCACGCGTGCTCTCTCTCTCTCTTTCTCCAAAAAACAACAATAACATTGTTTCCAAGAAAATTCATCGTAGTTGACCCTTGAACAACACAGGGGTTAGAGGCACTGATCCCTCCCTCCTGTCCCCGTCCTCCCACGCAGCAGAAAATTCACATATAACTGTTGACCGGAAGAATTACTGATAACAGTTGATTAACACTTATTTTGTATATTATACGTATTATAGACTGTATTCTTATAATAAAGTAAGCTAGAGGGAAAAAAATGTGATTAAGAAGATTTGAAAGAAGAGAAAATGCATTCACATCAATGTACTGTATTTACTGAAAAAAATTCACGTATAGGTGGACCTGTGTAGTTCAAACCGCTGTTGTTCAAGGGTCAGCTGTAGTTGGATTTTCAGTGTATTTGTTCATATATCTTGTATCTTTCTTCAGGAGAAACATTATATCATAAGACTCTGTCCTATTATACCCTCAGCATTTGAACCAATACTTCTTACTTTCTGTTGCCCTTAGCTACTCAGGACAGTAGCTGGGCACTGAGGTGGGACAGTAGGCCAGGGTTTGGGGTTGGCCTCTCCAGGTTCACCAGTCTTGCCTCTGTTTTTAACAGGACTTCGCCAACACCATTCCTGGCCATGGAGGCATCATGGATCGCTTTGACTGTCAGTACCTGATGGCCACCTTTGTTAACGTGTACATTGCCAGTTTTATCAGGTACAGTGCCTTTCCATCTGGACCAAGTTGGTGGGATTTTGAATGTGGTGAAATTCTAGAAGTGTAGCTACAAATCAGTGGGAGGGAAATTCATCCCAACCATGAATGCGGTTTTCAGTTACTACTCTGTCTGGGTTCTCTGAGGGTCCCCCTGCCTTCCACAATACGGAATCCAGCGGGAATAGCAGCCGTTTGAATAACCAGGCCCCAGAAACTGCTGGACCTCCGCTCAGCGCTGTTTCCTCACATTCTCTTCCAGGGGCCCCAACCCAAGCAAGCTGATTCAGCAGTTCCTGACCCTGCGTCCAGACCAGCAGCTGCACATCTTCAACACCCTCAGATCTCACCTGGCCGACAAGGGGGTGCTGACAGCTGCCGTGGAGGATGAGTAGCGGCCCCAGGCCCAAGACGGCAGGAGCAAGCGAGCGAGGGGCTAGGCTCCAAGGCAAAGCCCTCCTGGTGTGACTCAGTCGATGACAAGGCTTCAACTCACTGTCTTTTTTTTTTTTTTTTTGTAGAGCGTTTTTTATTTGTGGGTTTTCAGAACAATCTGTATATACAGTCTATGTGCTTATGATTTGGGTCGTGGGTAAACTATAGCTCTGAGTTGGAAAGAAGTCACCGGGGTCAGACCTTTCAGGCTTTTTAAACAGAAGTTTTAACCTGGAAGACACTGTTGCCCACCTGGGGTGTATCTGCTTGGTGCTTCTTGCTCCCAAGCTAGAGCTTCTGTTGCCGGGCTCCATCAGGGAGGGAGTGGATGTTCATCTGTGGCTGACCAGTTCAGGCCCCCGCCCCCCACCGCCCCGGCCTGCCCTTGTAGCTGCCTTCAGCTGGAAAAAGGTGCATGGCTTGGATGTCTTTGCCCCGGAGAGCTTTCACCTGGGCCTCTCGAGAATCCCAGCCCTGGAGCAACGGGACAGTTGCCTTCTGTGTGGAGGGACAAAGACTGTTTAATTAGATAAACATTCTACCTGCAAGGTCCTGTGGGGTGTGAGCTCTGCTTTATGACATGGGTTAACCTTACTTCATCACAGACTGAAAGAAGGCTTCAATATTTTTTTTTCAGGAAGCACGAAAAATTATTTATAATAGTCCGAAAAAGTACACTGTAATATTTTGAGTGTATGCGGTAGAACGTGCCATCACGAGCCCTTCCCCCAGGTGGTCGGCTCATGTGGCTCCTCTTGGGCAGTCCGGCTAACTGTGTCTTTTCAGGGCCGATGCCGTTCACGTTTGTGCTGTAGACTTGTTGCTGCTGAATCCCTCCTGGGGGCTCTCCTGTTAGGCAGGGAGCAGGGGGCTTCTCGTTCACGTGCCCTTTGCCTGACTGACCACCCTTGTAGCTGCTGTGTTGTGTATATACTACTCTAAAGGCAAGTGTGTACCTGTGTGTGTGTTTTAAAAATCACTTACTTCTTACAGTGATTTCAGTTGTACCATGACTTCTTCACTGCAACCACAAAATCCTGCTTACAACTCTGGAAACCTAACCCGATTAGAGGTGTAGAGGTGTGACTGTTCTGAAGATTACATGCACACTTTATATATATATATATATATATATATATATATATATATATATATATATAAAAATGTGACCAGTTTAAAGGTGGTTCGTATTTTATTGAGGACCTTTTTTTCTTTTAAACTGTGATTCCCACCCCCACCCCACCCCCGCCTTCTGATAGGAGTGATGTTGACTTTAGGGAGACAAGTTCTTTGTTAGGTCAACAAGCAGGGGAGGACAGGAAAGAGAACTGGTGCCCAGCTGTGTTCAGTTGTTCCGTGCCATGCTGGTTCTCCTTGCCAAATGAGGGTGCAGTGACTTGCTTCAGCACCTTGGTCTGCTACTGTTTCATTCTGTTTCTGTTTCTGTTTCCGTCAGTCGTCCTTGAAAGCTTACGGTCAGCTCAGCTCACTGCCATGGGCGGCACAGGGCGGCAGGCCCCTGTTGACATGGCAGCAGGGTCACTGCATGGGTCTCCCCACACGTGCAACATTGAGCTTTCCCCGTCTGAGCTTGTACTTCCGTTTCAACACGTGGCTTTCCTGGTTCAGGGCTGAGGACCCCTTAAAAACAAAGTGTGTTTTTGCGTGGGGTTTCCTTTCTGGCCGGGTGACCCTGGGCAGGACACATCCCTCTCTGGGTCCTCGTGTTCTGAGCACTCCCTTAATTCAGTATTCCGTGATTCTGACTGAGCAAGTTCGTGTCACCAGAGGCTACTTGTGGGTATCGAGTTGTGTCCTGGGCACACAAACAGCAAGAGCTTTCAGGCCGTTTCTAAATGCTTGTCTTTGAGATGAATCAGTATCTCACCAACCAATCTTAAACAGTGGAGGTCATTAGTAACAAATCTAGTTTTCACATTGAAGAATGGACTTGGTTCCTAAAACCAGAGACAGAAGGGGTTGTCTCTGTCACCTTATTGCGGGCCTACAGTGGGCGCCTTGGTGGCTGGGGCCCAGCAGCCCTTGAATAGGGGCATCTTTGGGATCGGCGTGCCTGGCACAATCCTTTGTGGGAGGAAGTGGTCGCTGAGGGGGCCTCTGGGGTCCTGGGAGACTGAAGCTGGATGCTCACAAGAGCTCTTCTCAAGAAGCCCAAAAGGTCAGCTTCAGTTTTATCTTCTATTTTCCCCACATGCTTTCTGGTCAAGGAAGAGGAATTTCCTAGCCTAGTTGCCAGGCAAGCAAAGTCACCTGTGTCTCTGTCTACACAGTGTTTTTCTTTCTCCCATTTATTGAGATATTTCACCATATAAACAAGATTGCTAGAGACTCTTTTAACATCCCCCTGTGCAGGTCTTCATGAATGGCATAACTTGCTTCAGATCCACTTGTTTGCGTGTGAGAAATAAAATGTGACAGAAACTGTGTGCTCTCCCTTGTGACTTCCGCGTCTCCCTTCCATGTGGGGTGTGATGTTTCCCACTTGTTATTGCATCATAAATATCCTGCAGTCCTGGTTTAGAGACTTTTGTTTTCTGCTCTGAATCTTCCACTTTCTCACAGCGGCCCTCTAAGGCGCCTCAGGTGGGAGTCCCGAGCACCTTGTGGCTGAGGACGCAGAGGCCCAGAGCAGCGGGAGCCTTCCCCAGGGTCACGTGGCAGAGGCAAGCCTCACTCCACCTTGCACTCTGCTCACCGGGACAGGGATCATCCGTAGCCCCACTTGCTTTTGTGAAAGTGGCGGTCAGTGTGGCAGGAATTCAGCTTCTGGTGGACCTGTGCCCCAGGTTGGAGCTTAGGGAGGGAGCTGATGAGCAAGGTTGTCATGGAAACCAGGGAGAGTCTACAGAGTGTCCTCCCTGGGGACTGCTCAGGGGACACCCAAGTCTTTTCCCCTTACGAGCACTTGCCACCCCTTTAACTGGCCTCAGCATTGAGAAAGTCACATGTATGTTTTGCTTCTGAGAGTGAAACCCCATAAGGCAGCCTGGGTCTTCTTTGTGTTTATTATTTTTTGCCTATTTCATATTCTGAGCATATTAGTAGCTATAGTATAATTATATTTAAAATGTATTTACTCAGTATTTTCTATATTCTGTATTTCTAAGTCGATAATGTATGTTTGAAGTTAGTATCTCTTTCACTTTTAGAAGGGGTGAAATGTAGTATTTCATCATACACAGGTGGACTTTGGAGCCATTTTTGTGGTATTTATTTATTTTTCCCCACTGGGCTTCTTCTCCTGTAACTTGACATATTTTTGGAATCTTCCTGTCTACCCTATTTTAAAGGAGATTAAACAGACCCTGATTTGAGTAAGCTAGTTGCTGAGTTGGCTAGAGGCTGATACGAATGGATCCTCGAGTTCGGATCTTCCAAGTGTCCGTGAGTCCGCAGCCGGCCCAGAGGCACCCCTGATGTTGATGAGAGAGGGCGGGGGCGGGATGTGAATGACTCAAGGCAAAGTACGTCACTGCTCAGAAAACTCAGCAGTGGCCTTGCTCTGTAAGGAGCCTGACCAGGTCCATTTCTAAGCAAGTAGCTTTTCATTACTCTACCAGATGTTGTCTATCATTGCCAGAACCTCTTCCTGTGTCTGAAGTGTCTTTGGCACCATTGCGATCTTTCAGACTAACTCTGTGCTCACCTTCCTTTCCCATTGCGGTGATGTGCTGAGTAGAAGGTAGAGTGGGGAGGGGGTTGGTTTCACTTGGACCCACCAAAGTCAGGGAGGGGAGGAAGAGCTAAGAGGAGGATGTCCAGGTGGCTGTGTAGACATCACAGGACGGTAAACCGTTAGCAGACTCACTGTGCTTGTCTGCTCCTGAAGGAGCAGCTGGAACAAACCATTGGCTTCCCGCAGACAGGCTAACTCTTGGGCAGAGTCTCATTATTCTGTCCTTGTCATCGTCAAAATGAACTTCTCTTTCCCTCGATTGCTGTCCACCCAGTTGCCCAGTTTCTAGTTTTTGAAAACATTTGCCACTCCCACTACCTGACTTGGTTTCCCTTGTTGGGTGAGGATCTGATGGCCTGACCTGCAGAGGGTGCTGCCCTTTGGACCGAGTGATGACGAGTGAAAGGTCTCTTCTAGGCCCACCTCCTCTTAGTTCCAGACTCTGCTCACCCACGTCCTTGCAGAAGGCGGCCCTCTTCTCAGTAATGAATGGAGTCCCAGCTGCTGACTGCTTGTACCACTGGACGGTGGCCCTGTCTTTCTGTTCCTTCTGGCTCTGCCCTGCCACCCTCCCCTTTTCAGGCTGACCAGAAGTGACCTTACCTACCTGGGCTCTCAGATGGGTAGAGGCTATTCTTCCCTGGGGCTGTCTCCTGACTGAGTGAGATTTTCGCTGGTTTGTATGTAGACTGTGTTTTCAAGGGCAAAGAGATCATGGCTGTGAGGGCCGTTTGGGAGGTATACTTTGGATGCTGATATGTTAGGGTTTGTAGAACATGTGGGTGATTTATGAGACTGGGGGCAGAATAGGTGACATCTAGGACCTTATGGCCAGTGGGTTTCAAATCTGTTGGCCATTTGAAGACCCTGTCCCATTCCCTCCCTCTCTCCACCAAATGCCTTTCTGCTGAAGCTCCTTTTTATTCTTGAGCCAGTAAGATGCCAACAGTGTGTTTGTTAATAATAATTGCAATAATAGTCATAGTGCTTAATATGTGCCAGGTATAGTGCTAAGGGCTTATCCCTTTTTAATCCAGAAAACAGCCTTTAATTAGGTATTATCCCCATTTTATAGGTAAGGAAACTGAGGCATCATGACAGGCTGATCTCAGTGGCTGAGGAGATAGACTTCCGGCTCCAATAGCCCTAGGTCTGGGCAGGTTACTGGGTATAACTCCAACTGGTGGGGTCTGAGAGTTGCACCTCCCTTGTGGGACTGTTGTGAGGATTTTTAGGAGATAACGCATGTAAGCATTTAGCATAGTGTCTGGCACATAGTAAGCCCTCAATAAATGGTAGTTATTTTTGTTGAACTCAGCGAGTAAATTGAACCTAGTTGGTGTAATGCCAGAGACTGGATTCTTAGTCACTGCACTGTTACCTGCCCAGCATGCATCCTGGGTGTTCACAGTCTAAAAGATTTTGAGAGAAGTTCACCAACCTTAACACCCACCTCCAGCGTCTGGGTGCATCACACTTCTCTTTCATTTCATTAGGCTGGCCTTCTAAATGGCCATGAGGATGGTCAGAAATTCTCCACTTTTAGTTGGAATGGTTTCCTTGAGGTCTTGCCCACTTCCTGTTGCCCCTGGTGTGGGTTTTCCTTAGAGAAGGAGGCCCTTACTTCCTCCCTGTTGGTGCCTCTGCTCCATGAGAGGGGAGGGCCTGTGAGTCACCCTGGACCCTGTTTTCTTCTGCCCAAGGACTTTGTCCTTTGCACACGGCTCAGGAGCCTGCAGCTTTCACTGTGTGGGGGGACCTCTCAGTGGGGGAAAAGAGAAGCCTTCTGTGTGGCAGATTATAGTAGTGACAGAAAGCCTAAAAGCTCTGCCTGCACCCTCACATCACCAGACAGGGGCTTTGTGTTTCGAGCTTCCTTACAAGTACTAACGGGCTAGAAGCAGGTGACCTCTTGAGGACAGATTGTGTGGGGTATTTCTCTTGGAGTCTAGGTTAGCTAGAATTGAGCTTAGTTTAAAGGATCACATGGGTGTGTGATGAATGAAGGGGAATGGGCACTGGATTGTGCGAAAAATCTTTTCACTTGGTTTTCTGAATAGAGATGGGGACTTGGGGAGGGCATGGGCGTGAGGTGGAGGCTTCTTTGCTTTGGAGGAATCTTGTTGACAGAGAATCCACGAAATTCTCAAACCAATGGACTAGTGATAACAGAACTACTGATTGAACATGGACTGTTTCCTGGGTGTTGGTGGGGAAAGAAGACCAGACTCCAAGGCCCATTGTATTTAAAGAACGGTTTCTCCCCTTCAGTTGAATAATGAAGTACTGGCTATGACAGGAATCAGGAGAAGGTTGTGGAAGAGTTCAGTAAGCAGCTGCTGCGGCAGGCTGATCCTGGCTTGCCCTCATGCCCTTCTGGACCAGCATTTGCCAGGCCTGGCGCTTCTTTCCTTACTGTTGAGTCTGATGGACACAGGCTGCTTTCTGTCTGTGGAGA